TCGTTTGGGTGCTGAAGTGTAGATATTAGCCCTCAGACGAGGGGAATGTGGGAGCTCCGAAGTTAGAGCTGGTATCCTCCAGCCTAGCCGCAGATTCAGTAAACAATCATAGGATTAATCAATGTTCTTTATGCCTGGAACAGCAATCATAGGATTAGTCAATGTTCTTTATGCCTGGAACAGAGGGTAAAGAATAAGTATGCTCCTATTTGGCACAATATAATTTGAACCAATTCACTTTATCCATTCACTATAATTTCTTGACAAGGACAAAGAAGCTTTCTTATATATTAAATATCACATTTAAACCCTCATTAGTATCATTAGTTATTTATTAGTTATTAAAATTATATATTTATTTCAATTGCCTATTAGTGATTGATAAGCAAATTAAACTTCGTTGTTGCGATTAAGGATTATTTTTTTAAAATTTTAGTTCGTTGTTCTAATATTACTCCATGTGGGATCGATATCTAGGACTCCATTCCAATATTACTTGAGCGATACGTATACTTGCATTGATAAGTGTGACTTTACAATTATTGAATATTTATTACGTCCATATTTATCTTATATTTTTAAGCATATATAAAGTCATCGGTCAGTGAACCACGAGAGACTCACTCTCTACCCCATGGCTTTGTAGGAGCCTTGAAAGCATAAGAGCATTCCCATGCGAGATAACCATCTTTCGATAGCTCTGTGTCAGTCATCACTGCTAATGCATGCAAAATCCCTTTGAATCAAGAGTATTCTAGGGCAACCCCTAAGATGTAATTAACCAAGTAGGATACGACCCATTGGGAGCACTCTAAACCCCAAAACATACAAAAACATATGAATCTCTAGTTGTGGGTAGTGTACGTGGATATTCTTTCATGAATATTGGTTGAAAGTGCTTCCGCCCGATCTTGTTTGGGCGGACATATTGAACACATCCTTGCGAGGTTTATCGAATGTAGGCTCTTCTCATTCTCTCTTGTTTGTCATCTTTGTGATATGTCTATCCTTTTTGGTTCCTCTCTTCTCTTGAGCATGCACATGACCCAGAAGAGAGACTTATTAAAAAAAAAAAAAGAAAGTGTATGACGATAGAAAAACTTGTGACTTTTTTAAAAATAAAAAAAAGAAAGGAATGGAAACAGAGCTCATATCGACGGGTCGATCGCTGGGGCCCATCATCCTTCACCTGCCTCGAGTTAAACCCCTCCCAATGTACCACAAACCGAATCAAATGACTCTCCCGCCCTCAACTCATCAATCGGGTTAGACCACTTTGTTAACCTCTTCATTAACGACTCGCCATCAGGTCATCGCGATCTAATTCCGAGTGCCACTAGCATCCTGGCCTTATCAATAAGTTTTAGTACGAGGTCAGATCCCTTCTATATAGTGAAGCATCAAACAACATTATCAATAAGTTTTAGTACGAGGTCAGATCCCTTCTCTATAGTGAAGCATCAAACAACATAAAAGGCCCATAAAAGAAACTAAGTCAAGATGATGAAGCTACCCATCTGAGCCTTATATATGATGATCATGGACACGAAAATACAGGGAGTTTATTTTTTAACATTAAATAAATACTATTATAAGGTTCATTTATTTTAAAATTTCCTTGTCCTTGTCATAGTCGTCACTATCAAGAAGCAAATACATTGAGAAACTTTAATATGTACATTGAAAAGCTGTCAGCACAAATCACAAAGACCTCTCGCAGATAATAGAAGAAGTGATGTGGTCCATCAGGGCTTACTAAGGACAACCCAGGACCACACAATCTGCCAGCAATCCACGCGCAACTGAAGGATGGTGTGCCTCGAGAAGATATAAAGCATACCACACTTGAAGAATACATTGGACCACATACTTAGACATATAAGTCACCTTCCAACCTAGATAGGTCGAGAGAGTAAAGAAAGATCTCACGTCCCATAGCAGAATGCATATACCCTCCTAAATTGTTTCTCGGGAGGACAATCGCCCGACCTAACAACCAACCGCTGAATAGCCGCCCAACCTAGCAACCGTCCAACCAAACTAATGGGCCCCACGTGCCATATTAATGTACTGATTAAAATACCCCCGCCACCTGTTCGTACTATAGAGGTACATTATGTAACTAAACAACGATTCATTTCTAAAAATAGAATGTCAATATCATAAATAAATCTTACAAAAATTTATCTTTATGGGAGGCCTATTTGGATTCAATAGATATATATGTAAATTATTCTTTTTTTGTCTATTTGTCTAAAAATTTATACTACAAATATTAATAATGAGACATGTTTATAATTAAGTCATTTTCTTAACACTTTTATACTAGAATCATTATGACGTTTTGTTTTCATTTTGCAATTTTAGATATTTATTTATAAAATAAGTTCACAATAACTACCTACTAAGCTAGCCACTCAAACGACCTAATTATGAACATCAGCAAAAATAAGCATAGAAAATATCTTTTTAGTGTTTAATCTTAAACGAGGTAAATATTTAATTAATGATCTTCTCCAATTTCATGACCCAACCCGACCCTTTAAAGCCAATCCCACGTAGCATCTTACCTCGTTTGTGAGAGACGGAGAACAGAGCGAACTAAGCTCGGTTTAAGAATTCATAGGTATATCTTTGCTTAGCTCTGCTGCGGGGAGTGGCTGACTGAGACTGGTGAGAAGAAAGCAGAACGAGGATAAAGCACCAATCTCTTTCCATCAAGCGTTGCTTTAGGCAGAAGAAAGCAGAACGAGGATAAAGCACCAATCTCTCTCTCTCTCTCTGAGTTGTTCCGTCTTTGTTACCTGCTTTAATGTGATCAGCAGTTGGTCTTTCGCCGAAAAGGAAGGATTTTTCATCTTCTTTCTGGCTTTCCATCAAGCGTTGCTTTAGGCGCCTCGGGATTCGATACCGCGTCGCTATCTTCTTTGAAGATCTTGGCATCGTAGAGAAATTGGTGTGAAGAATCTGCGGCGTAATTCAAGCTCACGCACATTTGACGCCCAAAGGTTAGTTTTTTTTCACTGAGATTCCGTTAGATTCTGATCTTATTTTCTCGTTTGTGATGTCAAGAGAGAGTCGAACTAATGAAAATTGTTCTTATTGTAAGGCCTTCGATTGGTTTTTGGATGAGCGATGATTCCCTTTCCTTGGCATCTGGTTTCTAAACTTCTACGTTTGCATTTGATTTTTGCTGTTTCATTTTGGCGTTATCTCTTTTGGAATGATTCGGTTTTTCTTTTTCTTTAGGTTATTTTCTGGAAATATATAGTGTTCTCGAGAAAAAAAATTGAGGAAATGACGGTTAGGGTTTCAGGTGTTGGACCTCGAGAGCTAGGTCTTCTAGATGAAATGCCTGTTTTTTTCCACAAAAATCTACAAGAAATTAGGGTATTAGGTATTAGAGCTGGAGAGCTAGGTTTTCTTGATAAATTTCCATTTTTCCTCACAAATCTTAAAGTTATTCCTCCAAATCGTAGTATTTATGTTTAACTTTTTATAGCCTCTATTACATAGACTTTTGCTTTTGTTTCTCTCTTATTTACTGATTCTTACTGTTGTTAGACTGGATCTAATGTGTTTGAATTCAGCTAAATAATGCCAAGATCTATCTTTCTTTTTCTATGTGATTTTTGCTGTCAATAACTGTTAGAATCTCTTATAGCATCATCTACAGTTTTTGCGCTCATATGTAATAGGATGTTTAAAGAATACGCCTCTAAGATATCCGAAATCTGTAGCCCCGTTCTCTTTGGATCTGTTCTTATTTTATTGTTGGAAGATTATATACATACTACTCAATTCTTATATATTTACATATCTAACGCCTGACCTTCTACTTTTTCATACATGCCACATACACCTATGCATGAAAAGGTGTATTTCTATTTCTAACAGTTAAAACGGTAGTATTCTTTATTTGATATGAAAGATTCCGGTGATATAAATGGAAAAAGGAAGGTTTATATTAGATATGTAAATACATGAGAATTGGGTGGTATGTATGTAAATGCCCCTTTCATTGTTTTCATATTCTTCCATGCTTTTGTAGCTTTCCCAGAGAAAAATTTCTTTGGGAGTATCAAAGTTTTCTACGGTATATTTGTAATGACTGAAGCACTAATGAAAACATGAATTTCAATCATGTGTTTCAGAGTAATGCGCTATAGAGGGCAGAGAAGATGGCCACATTGGTCCCTGGTGTTCTCATCAAACTACTCCAACACATTGAAAATTGCTGGCGAACTCCGCTCTTCTCTCCTCCAGGTTGTCAGCATAGTTCCAGCACTCGCCGGTGGCGAGCTTTTCGCAAATCAGGGATTTTATCTCAAGGTCTCTGATTCCTCCCATGCCACTTATGTCTCCATTCCTGATGAGCACGATGACCTCATCTTGAGCGATAAAATCCAACTCGGCCAATTCATATATGTCGATCGGCTCGAGGCGGCTATGCCTGTGCCCGTCCTTCTAGGTGTGAGGCCGGTTCCTGGTCGTCATCCTTGTGTGGGAAGCCCCGAGGATCTCGTTGCCACCCGCCCCCTCACTTTTCTCAATAGTTCCAAGGATGTTGTTGCTCCGTCGCTGGTGAAAGACATAAAGAATTCATCAAAGGTAGAGAGAACTTTCAAAGTTGAAGATATGGAAAAGAAAAAAGCGTCTCTTAGCCAATCTACTTCGTCGTTATCGAAGCTATCTCCAAGCAACAATGCAGAGAAGAAGTTTAAAATCTATGAGAGGTCAAACTTGACGAGTTCAAGGTCGGTTCCTTCGTCTCCTACGAGTTGCCACTCGGTACCGACCTCGTTTGACAAGCTATCTAATAGGGCTAAACAACATTCGAGGGTTAAAGTTCCAGAAAAGCCATTGAGTACGAGATTGAACTTGTTGGAAAGAGCAACTTCTGTTTTGCGGGCAACCACCGCAGGCAGGAAATCATATGGTGGAAGCTCGGAAGTAAGTCTGGTTCCAGGGATCGAGCCGGGGCCGAAGTCTTTGAGAAAGAGTTGGGAGGGTAAGATTGTGATGAAGGGGAGGGATAGCTCGAATTCCAAGCCATCAAAGACAGAAAAAAAATCTGAAGCATCAAGCTCTGTGGTCAGCATCCTTCTTCTTGCTTCATAAGGACTCAGAATAGTTCGATGTCAGTTAATTGGGTCATTTACATACATAGCACACAATTCTAATGTATTTACATATCTCACACCTAAATTTACATATTTACACATATAACACTCAAATCTGTAATATCACATAAAAATAACACTATTATCACTTTTTAAAAATGAATTACATTTATTTGTGCATAGATTTTACACACCAAATTGCTATGTATGTAAATATGAAAGTTTGTGTGTGAGATATGTAAATATATAAAAATTTTGTGCTTGTTATGTAAATTTACCTAGTTAATTTATGTTTGCATCTCCATGTTAATGGATATTAGCTCTTAAATAATAGCGCAATATAATTTGTATCTCCCTTTGGTTTACAGTTTTCTCGAAGGCTATTGATGCCGGTAGAGAGGCAAGCACCGAAAGAAGATAGCAGGGCTCAAACTCCTCTGAAGAAAGGGAACGTAAATATAGCTACGGAAGACACGGAAAAATCAGCGAAGGCGCGAGTTATCGCTGTGAAGAAGACATTGGACGTCACAAATCCAAATAATATTTCACCTGGTGGCCTTGTTAAGGTTCCCTCCAGTAGCAAGAGATGGACAGATGGAAGCATTTATTGGGCATCTCTTCCACAGCCTCTAGTGAAACTTGGAAAGGTTTAATTTTATAGAGAAAAAAAAGTTTCTATTCTTCTCTTTTAACAATTTTTTAAACATATATTGTATTTCTGTTTTAGGATGTTGTGAGATACAGGGATGCCGCTCAACTAGCTGCTATTGAGGCATTGCAGGAGGCTTCTGCAGCAGAGAGCTTAGTTCGATGCTTGAGGTAATATGATTTAAAAGTCAGGTTTTAGTTAAGCTAACTTAACTTAGTTTCTTTGCTTGACTAAATACGGTATATTACATGTAGGTCCTTCAAAATTTGGTATTTATTAAAAATCCCGTGGCAGGTGTGTTAATTTCATTAGAAGGATCGGTTGTCCCTTTAGTAATTCTTATTTATCTGTGCTGTTAAAATTAATCTAAATACAAAGATGTTTCGTAGAAATGTTTAATTAAGGTCCTACTTTTATCGTTTTTTTTTTCAATAGATCCTCGCCACATCTCTTTTGACAATTCTCCAATCTTGTAAAAACATAAGACAGTTGTTTTTTCGCTAGAATTACGGCATGCAGTGTAAAGATTAGCTAGTGCGAGAAAGAAATATATTTTGTTCGTGTGAGTCATTGAGTAACAATAACGGAATAGGTAGGGATGGAAAAGAGAAGGTGATAGAGACGCTGAGCGGGCGTCTTAATTACTCTTTTTCTTCCTTCTTCTTTCTCTTTTTATCATGTTACGAATATTTCCTATATGTATCTATTGAATATTTTCTTGGGGAGTAGTACTTTTAATTATTAGCTTCTAGTTCAATGGGTTGCAAAGATTTGAACTTTGTACTAGTCTTTTGAAGAGGGGAGCTTCTTTAATCGGTTGCAAAGATTGGAACAATGTGACACATTTGGATTTATGAAATTTTCCTATTCATTAAGTTCTGACAATAATGTTGATCGACAGCTATCACACAAATCTTGTAAAACCTCAAGAATCAAAGCAGTAATTTTTTGGAAGAATAAAAATTTATTTAGTGCTTTTGTTAACTATGAGAAAATTTATTTCACCACTGAAAAAAGCATCTTCTGTACTGTGGTAACGTTTGATTTGAAGAGTTCAAATGCAACCTTTTAGAGATTCATGGAAAACATCTTTTACGCTAAAATGAGAGAAATATCAAGGTTAATATAGATGATTTTTTGGTGAAAACTAAGTCATCGATCAAATAGTTGGATTGTCTATCAGAAGCAATTACCACCCTGAGTAAATTCAACATGAAGTTGGATCTGGAAAAGTAGTTGTTCGGTGTTAATTTTGTCAAGTTGCTTGAAATACTGATCAATAAGTTGCTTGAAATAATTATCACTTTTAATGGAATTCCATCAATTCCTGATAATTTATACAATGCAAGAAGTTTTGCTGCCACGCTTTGTCTAGCATGTTTACAAGTTGAACAAGATGATTGTTGGGTGAGGATATTCATCTTGTAATTGGGTCAGGGGAGCACCTCACTTCTCAATGTATTCAAGAAATTAAAGATGTTTGAATACGAAGCAACCTTTCTTGAAATAAAGCAGGTACAATGTTTCCACTAATTAATCTTATAACCTAAATTTCATAATGTTGTGATCATCCTTGTTTGTGTAAGAAGAAAGTAGATTAGTGCGACTGGTAGCGAGCTAGAATGAAGCTAGCCATCAATGGACTTGTTGACTTGTCATTTTCCCCCATAACCACGGGCCTATTTCATTGCTGATCTAATCAGGGTGATTATTGAGTGATCATTCTAACAAGTTTTATAGAAATTAAAGCTTTCTTAATAGCTCATGAAAGCTCAATAGAGTTTTGTGAGTATGATGTTGAGTATATACTCAACATATGCTTTGATTAATCATAGAAGCACATGCTTGAATTGATTTTGTTTTTTACTCTGAAATAGGAAAAGCCCCAAGGTTAGTTCCTTTTGAAGAAGTTTGAATTCCTTATATTGGTGATGCATTTAAGGAGTAAGGGTCTGTTTGGGGCAGCTGCAGCTTATCCAGCTGTAGCTTATCCAGCTTCTGCTGATAAGTAGATTATCCTGATAATCTGCTGATGACCAGCTGATCCGGATAAGCTGTCTGGTTGTTTGGTTAGTGCGTCTGGAAAACAACTGATTATGAAAAATTGACCATTTTGCCCCTGTTCTGAATAAGTTGTTTAACTGTTTGATAAGTGCGTTTTGTAAACAGCTTATTTAGAAATTTTTTTAGTTCAATGAATAATCTGTGTAGCAGAATATTATTTTCTCAAATGTCAAGCAATGAAAATGAAAAAAAAGTTTAATAATATTTATATAACTCAAAAAAGTTTTGATTACATCAAATAAGCACAGTGACATATATGAAAGTTCATTACGCATTCACATACTACTATGGATTATAATAAGACAAAAAAAAAAAATAATAACAATGTTAAAATTATAAGAAAAAATATGATAATATTGACTTTAAAATGTAAATTCACATCATGACGTATGTTGCCCGCTTCTAATACCTCAAAACCCCGAGCAAATTGTCTGACTGGGGTGCGGTAGATACGGAAGAACTCAAACCATTTGCGGTGGTCTCCCGTTGTGATACTATTCGAACTTTTTGCAGCTGTGTCCAATTGGGATATCGTAGAAACAGTTGCATTGTCGGCCCACCTGAAGAATTTGCAGTCTTCCGGTCTTTGTCCCCACCGCGGACACCTGTAAAACTGTCTCTCGAACCTGTGTCTGGTGTGACGTGAATAGCAAGGACGGTAGTCCGCAACAACACATCACTTCCTCAAACTTCCCTGAATGTTTTAAACTCATCGTTTTGCAGTTATTAAAAATAGAATAGATCAGTCCAAAAATTGAGGAAATATAAAAAGTAAACTTCTCCTGAATCACCTATATGCTCGATCGTCATATCCTCTGCTAGGTTTACAACACCCTGCTCATTAGGGGTGAAAAAATAAGTTTTTGTTGCTACAACACCAGTAAACATGTCATCCAACTTCCCCTCCAAATCTGGTTCAATTCCAGTAAATTAGAATTTTTTTGCTGCTGACACTATCTGTAATAACAAAAAAAATCTAATCAATATTCAAAAAATATGTATCTGAATTTTACTTAAAATAGTGATGTTACTAATTTTTCTGCCCACCATTTCTCAGATGCATTAATTGTCCGCTTTACTGGATCTCATCCCAACCCAGTTGATTCCCTTTTAAGCTCTTTCCAAAGTTTCCAGTCTTTTATTTGGTCTCATTTGTTCTTTGCTTTCATCCTATCGTAATCCCTTCCTGTTATTTTTTTGAATTTAGTTGTGATATTATGCCAACGTTCTTTATTAAAAAAAATTGTGGATTGATTTCCCAATTCGACCTCCCTCACACATAAATCACAAAAAATATTAGTACTCTCCCTATCCCATATAGCCGATGAACCAGAGCCTTTAAATTTACTCATCTTTTACTGTCACATCAACAGATGGTTAGATGACATTATAACCGAAAGTAACCTACTTAAAATATGGACTATGCATATATTAAAAAAATTCAAGAAAAATAATGAATTAAAATATATATTGGTGAAACATAAATGTGCTTTTAATATAACCATTATACATGAAACCTCTCTTTTTCTTTATTATTATAGTATCACCGTATTTGAGTAAAAACTAATTGAAATTTAGAACACAAAGAGTTGAGTAGAAATTCTAAAATAATGCTAGCAAAGACAACCCAAAGGCACAATTCATTGCATTAACTCCATGACAGTTTTATAACACCATGATAGTTTTAAAAATGACAACCAACAATTCATAGGGGCTGCTAGCTAATATGGCAACCCAAACAGCCAGGATAGGGACTGTTTTAAAAATGCTAACCCAAAATCATTCCTGCACTAGCTAATATGGCAACCAAATTTTTTATTAGCTTTTCAGGAATAAATAAAAAATGCTCTAAGCATTCAAAAATTCATTTTATTCTATGATTCAACATATGCAGCAAAGATTAATTGTTTTAAATAGCTAAAAAATTTCAGTAAATAAAAAAGAAACATCAGCCATTTTGAAGAAAGGATAGGAATGTCGAATTGAGAAGAAACAACAGGCATTTCGAACAAAGGATCTACATTTTTACCGGCGAAACTTGCTTCCCAAGAACTGGATCTAAGTTCTCCCACAAAAGACTTCCATACTAACCACAAAGAACATATGGATCAAGATGTGTTTCTGCGACATGGGGGAAAGGAGGTAGGAGCGGAGCGAGGAGAAGATATTCTTACCTGCGGAGGCAGGAGCGGAGCGAAGCGACTTTGGAGAACAGGATTAGGGATCAGGATGTTTGCGAGGGGTAGCGACGTAAAGATCTCGAGGCCGAACGCGATCCGCGTGCTTCATAAAATAAAAAGCCTGTTTAAGAAAACGCTCATCAAAAGCGGAAACCAAACATTAAGACGGCGTCTTTAAAAACGCCGCCGCACTTTTAAGCTGCCCCAAATGGGGCCTAAATTAGTGGAATTGACATTATCACTTGTACCATCTGGTTAACTTGTGAAGGCAATAGTAATCTAGCTAAAAAATGAAGTGGTTCTTATTGGATGGAACTTGGCGACCACAGTATGAGCAAAAAATCTAATACTTCATGCTACCTCTTGGTTGTTGTTGAATCAAAACCTAGGATCCTACAAAGTTAGTGATCCAATTATATAGGAAAACACTTCCAGATAATATTGTGGGAATTAGCCAAGTTCAAGCATTTTGAGTTAAACTATTTCACCCGGCCAAAAACTAAATAGTTGATCTTTTGACAAAATACAAAAATCCTTAAGTTATGTTATTCAAGAAACTGGTAGTGCCTGTGGTCGAGGAACTAGAGGCCATGTGGATAGATGAAGCACCAAGTTGGAATGATGAGATAAAGCTCTATTTTACTACCATGATATTCTCATTTATGCATGAGAATGTCCAATTAGTCAAAATATTGGTAGATTAGATATTTATGTCTAATGGTATCTTAAGAAATTTTTTTCCGGAATCTCACTTTAGTGCTTCGCACAGACTAAAGTGCAAGAATTTTAGAGATTCATTTTAGGGAGTGTATAAGCCAATTAGCTAGTACAAGTTTCATGAATTTGCTGTGATAAAATATTTTTTATGATCTTTAAGGAGAATGTCATCTAGTACTCAGGGAGATGTAAGTCATGCCAAGCCCACGCGTGGACCCTAATGATGTTTTCTTAATTTTATTTTTCTAGAATCTCACTTTAGTGCTTGGTACTGGCAATGAGATATATTCTGGCGCGAGAGCCGTTTGGTTGGCCAAATTCTTTCTAAAGGTGTTGCAATACGATTTTCTTTGGCTAATTGTCAAGGGGTATGCCAACTAGTTTATAAGGAAATGCTAGTTAAGCCTGCCCTAGGCTTAATTTCTATATCAACTGGTTCAGGAGCTCCAATCATTTATAACTCATTGGATATTCGTCATGTGGACAATGAACTGTCATCCTGGTTCTTACCAGAAACGGTCAAAGTTGATTCTTATTGGTGTCAGTTGACTTTTTCATGAAATGGTCTTTTTTAGTAGTCATACTCTGAAAAATAATTAAATTGAGTCTGTGAACGAAGCCATCATAAAATTACCAAAGAGAAGGTTAATTTTTTGTAAATGTGCATGACTAGAAGAGCTAATAAAATTTTAATAGAGCTACCAAAATCGTGTTGGATACTCATTTTGCTTTGGCCTTCCAGGTGGACACAGTGATGGTGGTCAAACTATATAGTAAGTCTGATTGGGTATTTAACATGAACTTGTTGAGTTTAGAAGATGCTTGGAGATCACAGGAGGAAAATGATACGGAGATACGAGCAGAATTTAACCTACAAGAATGTTTGATAGAAAGCAGCTCACAAGATAAACTACTAAAAATCTTCAGTCGTCCTATTTTTGAAAAACTTCTTCCGACCTAGAAGTTTCTAGCCTGACATTTTAATGCTAAGAAAGGTTTATGAGACTAGAGGCACCTAGGGATCTATTAAATTTGCTCTAAATTTGTTTGGCCGATTTATCAGTGAAGCTATCCAGGGGTGCGGCTTATACAAGTTAGATGATATGAAGGCCGTTAATTGCTCAGGGCTTGGAATCCTTTTGGCTTCTAGCTTTATTTTGAAGAAATCCTAGTTTTTGAATTTGTTTTTTAAAATCTTATGTTTATTTTAAAGGACGGATGTATGAGATCAAATGAAGAATGTGTTGTGTAGCCCTTAACAACTTTCTTACTTGAAAAGACGAGAATACACTTTAATAATTAAATAAGGTTTTAAGTGTTATTGTTTATTAACTGTCATAATGAAACCAATATGAATAGAAATGCTAAAATCTCTGGTATTGAGTGTACTTTTACTTTCTCAAGTGATGCCAAACACCCTCTGTGTGAAGAAAAACTCACACCTTGATTTGCTTAGTTTTTCTTTGTGTTATACATCTTCTATTATCTTGACGATGCTTTTGACCCGGACTTGAGCTTGAGAGGTTGCCAAATGCATCATCCTTTAGACCAGATTTACACGACCAATATATGTATATGACAAACTAAGATTTTTTAGGATTCTTGACAGTTTTCCTATTAGTGTTTGTACTTGATGAGGCCTAGTTTTATGCCACATCTTAGCATGGATTGCCCTTTCATCTATAGCGGAACTCATTTTCGTCTGTAGGATTCATGACTAGATAGACTATGAGGTTCTCCCCCATCTCATCAGTAATGATTGTCTCGAGCATGGGGAAGTTGGAAGTTTTAGAGGGGCATTCACGTGTGGTCAAATATCACAATGCGGAGGTTTGTATTAGCACCGTCCACTTGTTTGTTGCCTCCTCTTTCTCTCTTCTTGGTCATACTCAATTCTACTTGTGATTGAAACTAGGACTAACCTCATTGTTCCTTTTTCCCTGCCCATTTTAGAGGACAAGCCTCCTTTTCTTTCCTGGAATTTTCTACAGTGAGTAACTTTTTGCCTAAATTAAAGGGATCCTTCAACAAAAACACATTGATTTATGTAGTACTTCAGGGTATATAAAGTTGACCATATCTCTACCCTTGAGTGGTTTGGATTCTTTAGGGAGTTCATAATTAGCACCCCTTGTTGAAGATTATAAAGTAGTGATTGTGATATAGCTGTTCACTAAAGCCCCCTACCCTTAGATTTGCAGCATCGGGGGATGGCATGGGTGAAGGTTATCAGAGGCGGAAAAAAAAAGTACCTTTACGTTGGACAAAAATAAGCTGGTCTCATCTAACCCCATAATGTTTTGGAGCTAGGGGAAACATAAAATCTCTTCCATGCGCATTATCAAAGCTATTCACATTTCAACAAATTGGACTCCTAATTTGGTTGACTTGCCATCCCTATTTAGTCGAATTCAAAACGCCGCTTAAGGATAAGTTGAACGCCAATGTCGACCAATCTTAATTCTTCAGTCGGTCGGATTGGAGGGATGCTGTTGGATATTTCGAGAATTGTTTACCAGATTCTATTTTGTTTAATCTTTATCTACTTAGAATATGCCTCATCCCTGATTGGATTTGTTCCTCAAAACTTTTGATGATTTGCCTTTATATTTTTATGCATCTACGATTTTTGTTGCAAATGGAAGATTTGCATACATACCACTCAATTCTTATGTATTTGCATACCTAACTTCTAAATTTCGATTTTTATATCCAGACTTCACCTGTTCATGAAAAGATGTATTTAGAGCCGTATCAATTCACATTTAATTTAAATTAATTTGGTGAGGAATTTATCAAATAACACAATTATCTGACTTTTGGGTTCAAACCAAAGGGCTGCCTGGAAGATTAACATGCATACCACTCCATTTCTATTTATTTACTAATTTAAACACCTAAACAGTTTTAAACATGTCACCTCACCTATGCTGAAAAGATGTATTTCACCTTTTATAAGTTAAAATTGTGGTATTTTTTACGTGATATTTAAGTGCTAAATATGTCAATATATAATAATTGAGTGGTATGTTTGCAAAGTATATTTATTAATTAGCTTCTAACATAATCTCCCCTCTTGATCCTTGCAGCATTTACGGAGAGTTATCTTACACGTCGAAGGAAGATCACCCGCAGCCGGTCGTCGAGCAGTTCCTCGCCCTCCATTCCAATCTTGCCCGAGCAGCCCTCATCTCTGAATCGCTCAAAGCCGCCGCAACCTGCTCCTGCACCTCGCCGGACCAATCTACCTCCGGCAGCGCCGCTGCCATTCCCGAAGAGACCGCCCCGCCTTCCCTCCGATAGCCACCGTCGCGCGACGGCTTGGGTGAATGCTGCCCTCGGCACAGACCTCTCACCCCTCTCCCTATATACCCACAAGTCGCACTCGTCTTCTACCGCCACGCCGCCACGAGCAGTCGTCGTACTCGACAATTCCGCGAATGCTACAGCGCCATCGTCAAAGGGGAAGCAGCGAGCGTCTGGGATGGCGACGAAGGTGGCTAAGCAGCGATCGACGAATGCGATTGTGTCACCACTGGTGAGGCGTTGGGAGAAGGGGGAAGGATTGGAGGATGGAGCGGAACTAGCGAAGGCGTTGGAGGAAGAAGCGAAGAACTGGTTTGTAGGGTTTGTGGAGAGGTTTCTGGATGCGGAAGCCAGTGGGACGGCAGCAAGGCTGCCATGGGACCGGGACCTCGTGGCTGGAATGCTTGCCCATCTGAAGAAGGTGAACGATTGGCTCGACAGCGCCGGGAAGAGAGATTGCATCGGAGAGGATGATGGAGTCGTAGTCAAGGCTGGGGGTCTGCCGCCGGAAACAGTGGAGAGGCTAAGAAAGAAGATATATGAGTATCTGCTGACTCATGTGGAGTCCGCTGCAGTTGCCCTCGGAAGCGGAGGCGGAGGTCCGCCATTGGCGATCACGGCGGAGCGGAAGGGAAGAAAGAGTTGATTGTCGGAGTGGAGAGTGAATTGTTTGGTGACATCGGGGTTAGAAAATTGGCCCTATGTATTAACTAAGGTGTTTGCTTTACTAATTATGCTTTGTGACTTGGTAAAAAATAGGGGTCGAAGGTATGCTGTTGGAAAAGAATTTGAAGTCAGTTTCTCTCTTTAAATATATGGAGATTTTTTTTTCATTCAAACTCATTATTTGACTATAATGCCACTTGTGGTTAGGTTCGTAACTATTAAATTTATTTGATTTTAACAATATACTGACTTATAATCATTCCATATAAAAATGATCATTGGGACGAAAAACAAATTCAATTATAGTGAATTAAATAATTTTGATAAATTAGGAAACTTAGAGATAATATATATATATATATATATATATATATATATATATACAATAAAAATTCTTTGTATTAAGTCTTCTAGGTCATTCCAGAATATTTCTTTAAAATCTATATCTAAACCTACGAATATAAGCACTTATAATATTAAAAACTTGGTATTAATCATAATTTGAAGGGTTTAATTATATATCTAATTTTATTAATTTTTATAATATTATTTTTTCAAAATCTTACTTAAATTATATCTACACAATTTTTAATGCGGCTCTTTTCTAAATATTAAAGATTAAAACCAAAGATTTCAATCTCCTTGTCCTTTCTTTACGATCTATTTTGTCTTATGAATACATAGATATTTATCTTTCTATAAGTCATAATTTCAACAAATTTCATTGATTTACTCGTAAGAGTACATATATTACAAGAATCTTAATATTAGCTTCATTGACTAATTTTTTTAGTCACATTCGCTTGTAATGAGAACTTTTGCTTATTTGGCATTATATCCAGGCGTTGAAGTAGCGGCTTGTACATTTTTTGTTGTATTTAGATCATACAGTGCATTGCTTTTAGGGGACATTCTAGTTTATACACAATAATCAAAATGCAATCGACTACTTATTGCAACACTCTATTTTTCATCTCCGAGGCTTGGGACAAGTTAATGAGAGTATTATTTATATATACTAAGTTATTAAATAAAAATTATACTTAATCTTTTTATTTCAAGTTAAAATAAGCTAAACATGATCAAATAAAAAATTATTTTGACCTATTTATAATTCAAACTTAATAAATTTGTAAATGCCCCAAGATTTAATAAGCATAATCTGGTAGCTTATTTTATATTCAGTTTATGAAGCAAGATAATGCAATTTATGCATCTTGAACAAACTCACGAGCAGACAAAAAAATTATTCAAATATGTGAAAATTCTTCAAGGGGGCTGAGGCCTTGAACGCGTTTCTACAATATTCGTTTCCCCATCTGCGAGTATTGAAACAAATGAGTAGGAAAGAAAACGTAATGATTTGCCGCTTCGTCTCTCTCCCCGATGCCGCGCAGACTTTCTCTCAGCCCAGCAGGACATGATTGCTAGTTTCAAGTGCTATGATTGTCCACACGCGAAGCGTAAGGCCGAAGCGTACTCCCTCGATTTTCCTAATTTACCTTTTCAGGAGGCCCCTTATTCCTTTTGAAACATCATGGAGGGGCTTTTGTGTAATTTTTATGAGACAGAAAGGCTTTTTGATTTGAGATCGTAATCATTGTGCTATTGGTCTTCCACTCATCATTGCTTTCTTGGATGAAGACTGTTCTCTTAATTATTTTTACGCTCACTATCATAAAATGAGTCACGAGAGCGTACCATATAAATCTTTTATAATTACTACTTCATCTTCACAACACTCAAAATTTTTTATGGCCTAAAATATATTATTATTACTGATACTTAAAAAAAAATGCACTATTTTTCAAACACAGTTAAATTGTTATAAGAAAATCAGAGAAATACATGTATATATCTGTGTGCGTGAATCATTCTTAATTAGTTAGTAATATTCAAATTGATAAGAAGAAAAAAACTATCACTAAGGTTTGTTTATTAAAAATAAAATACACTATTTTTTCTTATATTTTTTTCGTTATAATTTAAATATCTAAATGACATAAATAAATATATAATTAAAATTTTGCATATAAAACAAAAATAAAGATTCTATGAAGAATATATTAATTTCCCTTGGTTTTTTGGAAAAAATACGCACGCGCACAGTTTGTAAATATAAAAATTTAGTTGTGAGATAAGTTAATATAAATATTTTGTTCTTATATATGTAAAAGCACCTTTCCGTCAAATGTAAAATATAAAAATGCACTATTTAATAAAATTATTGAATTTTTCATCCTGCCAATTTTATCATTTAGGGCTTATATTTGTGTGATAGGATTGCACAATTAGCCTGAAAGATACGAGGGTTTATGTCGCATCAAATGACAACCTTGGAATCCTAAAACGAGTTAGGGCTTAAATTGCTTTACATGATCATGTAAAGGCCTGAAGATGAAGTGAGGATTTATGCTGCACTAGGCAAACGACCTCGAAGTCCTATGGTTTGTTATTTAATTCTAGGGAAAAGAGATGTGCTGTTGTAGAAGGCTGCCCATAGAGCTAGCTCCAAGCTCCTTGGCGAAGTAGCGGTCCTAAAGTCTAAAGAAGTAGTTCTCAAGGTTTAAATGAAAACTATTGTTCAATAATTAGGGGGGGGTTTAAAATTGATTAGAACAATACTGGTTAGGATCCCACAGTTCTCTCATTCTGGTACTACGGTACTACTATTTTCTTTTAAATTTACATAGCTTAAACGAGCTGTTAAACCCATTTAAAATGGGGAGATCTCGTTAGCAACCGTGGGTTATCTCATCCGAGGGACTCACATAAATTCAAAAGGGCGTGTTATGAAGTTGTATTTTAAATGATTTATGGTTATCTTTGAAAGGGTTCAATTTAGTTTTGAAAATTGTTGATTAATTTTGAAAAGTTTTCATTTTTTCAACCAAGCATGCATGGTTTATAGAAGCAGTAGTAATTTGCAATAAAATAAATGAAAGAAAATAAATAAAATCGTAAAGGCGTACCTGTCATCTTCACGCTGCTCCCGCTAAAATGTTAGAACTTGCATCATATATAATTTTGTAAGGAATTTAAATAAATTACAAAAACAGGAAGACCAGACAAAGTTGTAGCTACCAAACGCCAAGTCATGACTTGATGAGTCCCTAAAGGTTTTAATGGATCCGTAAAGGGTGTAATGGATAGTTTTCGTGAGCAAAGAATAAGAGTTTCAATTGTCCTTCAGAAATATTCGAAAGGTCATAAAAAGTGTTTTTGGGAGAAATCCCTATCAACCTTTGAATCCTTTTGAAATGTTTCGAGTTCATTTGAACCTATTATGTTGTACAATTAATCATCCCAAATTTTAAATATAGTTTCAAATGAATTAAATGAATTAATATACCCTATGCTTAGTGATCTGATACTTTAATTATCTCATGAGAAGGTACTCATTTAATCAATTGATGTTTCATTTAAGAGTTACGGGTGCCTTTGAGGGCAAGATTAGGTCATTAAAGATCTTGTACCCACCACTAAAATTGGGTTTGTAGTGTTTAGAGGTGTTAACCCCACCACTAAAACTGGGTTTGTAGTGTTTAGAGGTGTTAATCAGTCATGTCTTTCTTTTCTAAATCTCATTAAACAAGTTCAAATATCAAGTCTAGCTCACTACCAAGCCGTTAACAATTTCATGGGTAAATTTGTAATTATCATAATGTTAATTTGAGTGAAATCTTTTCGCATCAAAATATCATGCTATCATCAAATCACCAATTAGGGGATTCAAATGAGTGAATTATTATCTTCCTAACTCAAGCTCACTACCTTATGATGATTCAACTGAATTGACTTCCAAGTCATAATAATTAACAAAATTATAATTCTACGCTTATCATGAAAAGGTGGAAAATTGATTTCTACCTTTTAGCCCTTTATGTTTCAAACATCCTAATGAGTTTAATTTGATCAAAATTACCCATTTACCCCTTGGTTGATCCTAAATTTTAATTAAGGCGTCAAAACCCAAAATTATCATTTTGCCTCTAGGGCTCTCCATTTCATAACTTATCAAATATAATTCAAACTACTTTTAAATTTTTAGAATTCCCCTCCCATGGGTTGACTAAATATCAGAGGAGAAAATGTGTTTTTTGAAAATTTTATTTGATTTAAGTAATTATTTTAACTCAAAATTTAAATAATTATTTTTAACTCAAAAATAAAATTTCTTTATTAATTTATTTAATTAATCAAAGTAATTTTTTGTTCATGAGAGAATTATTGGAGGTTCACCTAGGTAAGAGGACTATTTGGACAAAATTTCATCATTTTTCAAAATATCTTTTAATTATTATAATTATTTATTGATTTTAGTGATTTAATTAAATAGAAAATATGTTTTAATTACAAAAATTACTTTTTATATTTTTCATAAATCTCTACAAGCCCATTAAATTCAAAAAAAATAAACTTTTTATTTTTTTTATTTTTAATTTAATTATTATAATTATTTTAATGGAAAATTAGAGAAAATGAATTTTTAGCTTTTAGAAAATTATAATTAACTTAGAAAAATTAGAAAAAATATTCTAATGAGTCCTAAGGGACCAGAAAGCAATTAGAAACATTTTAGTCCATTTTTGAATTTTTATAATTTTTAATTATTTTTAATTCAAAATATAGCTAAAAATGAACTATTTATTTTAAAATAATTTTTATTTTTCCTAAGTGTCCTGATCACAAGGAACTCAGAAAATAACTTTTTATAATTTTTCTAATTATATTTAATATTTTATAACTATTTTAATGCAAAAATACCATTTTATTTGGAAAATAGACTTTAGTGCTGAAACTAAATCAAATAAATTTTTAATTTTTTTTATAATGAGTTAAAATGAGTATTATTTACAGCGTGGAATAATTTTTCTTAGTTTTTGAATAATATTTTAAGTAATTAATTTATTATGAGTTTTATACATTTAATTAACTATAGAATACACAAAATCACTTAAATCAATTTTATACTTTCCTAGGTTAATTAACTATAGAATACACAAAATCACTTAAATCGATTTTATACTTTCCTAGGATCCTCTAACCACGGGAAACCAACAAAAATTAATTCGATAATTTTTTGATTTATATTTTTGTTTATAAAATTATTGCAAGCAAAATAACCATGTAGGATTGAAAATTAGAGTTTCAAA